CAGGGTCCCTTCAAGGCAAGAGATGTGTCCATTAAAAGGACTCATTCATTTTAACTTATGGAGTGCTGGTGACCTATTCTTCAATCTTTTATCATGACCAGTCTTGAGTTCCTCAGGTGATTGCCCTAGCTTATTGATAAAATCAGTATCAACTTGAACTCCAGGCAAAACTGATATTTACAATGCTTTTAGGTGAACTTTTTACCTTGATCTTGGGGTCTTTATTATTTAATTAGTATTATCTGTTGCTCCAGAAGTAGTTAGGATTTAAAAAAATTGTCAGCTTTCCTGGCCAGTGGACCAAAAGCTTGTGCCTGCTCTGTGCAGCAGGGTAACCAGTTACCTTAAGGCTTGTTCACCCCATGTCTGGACCAGATCTGGATGCATTTCTGCATGTGCAGTGCATTTTGATGCGTTCCAGTGCCTTTTTATTGTCAGGTGCGTTCCAGAGCATTTTCATGGTTTTTTTAAAAAATAATTCTCGCATGAATTTCAGTGGTTTCTGGTGGTTCCACACCAAAAAAAAGCATGCAGCATTTTCCCCTCTTGTACTGGAACTGGCCACTGGTGGGAACAGAGCCCAGAAATGCCATAGGAATACATTTGTATACATTTCAGGTGCCGACAAAACTCTGGTCCAGAGATGGTGTGAACAAGCACTTATAAAAGGTTGGTGCATTTGAGGAAGTCCCACTGAAGGTAGAATCCACAGGTTTGTTCATAGCTGTAAGTGTGAAAAAGGATGCTTATAGAAATGTAAGCAGAACTAAGTTTTTCCCATAATGGTTGTATGCTAGTGTCATTTTTCTTGCTTAAGTGGACACCCAACACATTGGATGCACTGCAACATGTTTGAGGGTATGGCAATATCAGGGAAGCAAAGGAAAAACTGGACTGTTGCCCCTAGCAACCAGCTGGTTTGATCTAATCTACTTTCCTAGTGCAGGCTGGAAAATGAATCTGGTTGCTGTAGGCTCCATTTTTCACAAGTCCTCCCCAGTGCATTGAAGGCTGAAAAATGAAATGCGTAAGTTTGTCTTGCAGTGCTATGCACTTATCAGCGCCTATCTGCACAGTATAATGCTTTTCAAATATCAACCTATGGATCGGTTCTAGGCATATGTCTATAGGTGTGTAGAAAGTTGCATAATATGGGAATGGGAGTGTCTGGATTAAAATGCTGAAGAAACACACCTGTCTGATCAAAGCTTGGAAGCCTGACAGACGCTGAGGGGAGAATTGTCTCAAGAAAACATGTTATGGCATGGAGACTTGCTGAGTGTGCAAAATCTTACATGTTGTGTTTGGCATACCTGGCATGTGTATCATGTTTTTGGTTGTGGGTTTTATTAAAGGGGAGAGGCAGAAAAATACAACTTTGTTGAAGAAAATGTGTACAATATACATGTAAATCTCCATCCTGTGTTCAATACAAATAGTATGCATGTATAGCATTTAAAGTGGATGTGCTACAATTGTTTCGTAGGCGCATGGTTTCATCCATGCCACAACAGACAATCAACATATTTAGTGGAGGTGCATCCTATCACCAGTCAACTTGTTTCCTAGACTGGGCCCCCTGATGACACAATCAATCAGGAGTAGGGGGAGATGCCTCTACTATAAAACTCTTAATAGAATATTAGAAACCATTGATGCATTGAAATGACATTTTGAGACAAACCGAATAAAGTCAGTGTTTGGGTTTTTTTTCTAAAATTTTGCTATTTATTTTTTAACATTGGGGTTTGGGGGCTTTGGTGAAATGGGTGTCTAAACAGACCCCTGATATTTTCCTTTTACAATAGAAAGAGCTTGACTGCCAATCCTAAGCAATCGCCAAATGTTTGTTTACCGCTCTCCATCCTGACTTGCTGTCACAGGAGGCTGGGCAGGTGGTGAGGGGAGGAGAGCTCGGTCTCAGCTGACAGCTGTCTCTGCCCACACACCACTCCTGATCTGTGCAGGAGGCTGAGCAGGTCAGTGCAGGAGGAGAGCTCAGCCTCCTGTGACACACAGCACTCTCTCTCCTCCCCACACCGCTCAGCTCCTGACAGTTTCTCTCCTGTGGATGCACTGCAATGTCAGCCGGAAGATGGCACTTTTGCTGAACTTTTTTGGTCAAAGTGCACCAAATTGAAAGTAAGTAGTGCATTACCACACCCTGCAGTGCAAGGTGATTAAGTGCATTGGGGTACCACACAAACCTCTACTTGGCATGTTGCAGTAATGTAGAAACAGAGCCACGTACTATGGGAAGAATGCAGCTGATGAGTCACAAAGGAGGAACCTGTGTCTTAGACCTATTCGAGCTAGAGATTTCTGCTGATTGGAATGTGATGTCATCTTATTTGTCAGTTTCTATAGCAGCCACTTTGTCAACATGTCTGGAATCCTGCCAGCTTCTCTGCTGTAGAGGACAAACCAGTGTTACTGGTCCTTGCATAGGCTTTCATTCAGCTTGGTTTGTTCCCCACTAGATGTGGTGGTATTTCTCAGAATGGGCATGTCTAAAACTGAAAAATTTGGAAGGACTTTGCGTGTGCACACAGCAACATTTGACATGTTGAGGCCATCAGTCATTGTATGGTCTCAATTTCGTGAGAAAAGGTTACTTTTTTTTAAGTAATCTGTCATTTTGACCCATAAAATCCAACCTCGTGCTACATATGAGGATTTCATGGCATAATCAGTGGGGGTTTTTTTTTTTTCTTCTTACAAATGTATCTGGTCTAACACGAGTACATTTTAGTGTATATATCCCAGAACATTGAAGTTTTCAAATGGCGAGATGCCCCAGTTTGAAATTGATATGGTTTTTGTGCATCAAAGGTATGCTTGGGGGAGTGTCTATAAAAATTATCATATTTTTACTAATGGAATTGTGAACAGGACTATTTCCTCTTTAGTCAAAGTTCACACCTGCGCAATCCGTAACCACACAGCAATCGTGCACAAAACCGTGCGGATGGCTGTGTGGTCACCCACCACCACCGATGGCACTGGTGGTGCCAATTATTTTCTAATGGCACCCCAGTCGCAACAGGCAGATCACATGGTTTCTCACGATTCCACCCATGCAGTCTAACACCAAGTCTCACAGCTAAAACAGCCAGGCATATTGTCGAAAAATAGTACATGTACAATTGCCACAGGGATGTAACTCCATTGAAATCAATGGGGCTGCACCCTGGATCACCTAGGTCTGCACCAGCCCTAAATGTTAAAACTAAAGATTAGTACAGTTGCAGTGTACCATATGTGTACAGAGTGCAATACAAAACTGCAAACCAGATTTGTCAGATTTCAAATGCTACACTTAGTGGAACCATTTCCATATACAGTTGTGCACTTGTGGCAGTTCGGTAATTGCATTTAAAATGCTATTGCTAATTGCACAAAGAACAAGTTACACCAGCCGTCCAATTGGAGAAGTGAGTACCCCCCAAAGGAATGCATAAGCCATGCATAAGAATGCATAAACCATGCGTGTTAGTCCAAACTTTTTTTTTTATTTGGTCTGCATAGGTAAAATACACAGCTCCCAATGTGTGAACCACAAATTACATGGAGTTAATTCTCAAAGTGCACCTACACTATCGTGGAGTGACAAATTGTATAGTCGCAAAACTAATTGACAATGTATTTTACTTGTGTAGACCGATTAAAATGTTTGTATAGATGCAACACGTATGGTTTAGCTATTCTTCTTGGGCGCCTCTGTCTTGTACCTACAGTGTATTTGTGTTCCTTTGGGGTAATCACTGCCTTTCTCCAGATGACATCGGGCTTCTAAGCTGATGATTATTTGATCCACACCTTGACCAGCATTGAGTGACCACCAGTGTATGGACAGATCTATTCTCCGCATGCCCTTTTTCCACTGGTTGCTAGGTGTTCCCTAAGGGATTTCCCACAACCACCTATACGTGAGTATTGGGTTTGGAAACTGTCCATGTATTACTCTGTATCTGGAATTTTGTACTACTAAACTTGGTTAGATCTCTCCTAGGGCTTTGTCCTCTTGTCCTTTCTGTAGTGCTGAGATGGTACAGCTTTTTTTTTTTTTTTTTTTTTTTTTGGGTTGAAAATATATATTTGTTTCAGTGGTTT